ACCTGGCCCCGTCTCTGGCCCCACCACAGGTGGGGCCATGTGTTTACAGGGATGTTTGGTCTTGGGTGTGTTATATAATTACGTTCAACACTTTAGACAATTCCCAGTGAAGAATAATCTAACCGTAATAGTTATATGTACCACCTGGCATATTTACACTGATATCGCCTAAACATGCGTCGCGAGTATGTGGTTGTGGTGCGGATAAGATGCAATCTTTAAAAGATGTAAAACCAAGAATATACCCTGATAGCAATGTCCTAGGTCCTAGTGGTCCTAGGCTATTTTCTTGTCCGGCGTTGGGCGGTCATATACGTGCGCATCGAAAGCGCACACCCGTACAACAAGCTTTTCAACAATCGATTTCGATAAAGGCTCGTAACCTCCCCCAGTCAACGCACGGAATACCGTCCAGATCCGCATTCACGTAGCACTCGGACCGATATTAATCTTCTCACATCCTCTCTTAGTAGACGAAAATGCGGCTGCGTGGCGTTGTCCCCCCTCCTGTCGTCTAGTATGCCTTACATTACAGTAAACGATCAAGCCCGTCCAAATACGACTTTTTTTTATTAGCGTACTACTTCAGTAGTAGAGGCATGCCTCCAGACGAAAATCATACCGTAGGCAACGACAAGCAGGTAAATGTCCAAAAGTGTGTAGAAAATAGGGGATCTTAAAAATAGTTACATCAAAACGATAAATCCTCTCGTCCCTCACCGGTCTTAGAGTAGAGGCGTGTGGACCTCTTTGTTCACCTATAAGTTAAATGTACATATGTTTAGAGTCCAAGTCGAAGGCTTACAATTAGGGACGCAGATGAACGGATTTCGTATTACCTAGTTTTCTGTGGCCACCGAATATCGCTTCAACATTTTCGTGAAAGCGGCCTCCAGCTGTCAGAGGCCACCCGGTCCATCTTTCTTCCAATCCAAACATAAGTCTGAGAAAGAGACGTCTACGTGAATAGCTGGCCACGTATCGGTTATCATCGGATAAAGCCTCGAAGTACGGAGGGCGGCCTTTTGTTTTCGGCCCTTGAAATTTACTAGGTTAGATCCATCTCTATTTCTCAATTTATCCAATATCCATTTTTTCCGCGAAATACGTCGTTGATCGTGGATTTGTCACCAGCATTTGCACTTGCCAATGCCCGAACTAAATCTCGAACTTTATGCGGATGGTTGTTTAGTGTACATAGCTCTTTAACAGGCGTATAACCACCAGAATTCAATGAAAGCGCGAATGCGGTCGAAGGCAAGTGTTTGCTAACGGATTTACGGAACTTTAGTTCGAATTTGTAATTGCTATTGGCCAGAATGAATATGCTGTTTAAGCGTATAGAAATCATACACTAGAAAAGTGCAGAGTTATTAAGACCTGGGAAAGTAAGTGAAAACGGCCCATTGACCCATTACCCATGGTACACGCCGTCATCCAGTTGTGTAGTCATCCAGCTAATCTTGTGATCGGCTGCGGACATTCAAGTTTCTACATAATTTTCAACAGTTCATGGCAATTCATTTTGTCGAAGGCCCTTTTAAGATTCACGAATGTGGTGCAGAATCCGGTCCCCGGTTGGGGGTGATTTCTAACCGACTTGTTCATCAAGGTGGCGAGGGCAGTCATTTTTGTGGGGCCTACCCCGAGTCGTCTGGGCAGAAAACTGTAGGCTTCTTCCGTTTGTTTAAATGCTGTCGTGCTTTGAGTGAATCCAAGGACTGTCTCAGCTGCCTTGCGTACTTGGGACTTACATAGTTCTACAGCCATCTTGCTCGACTCTTTTTTTAAAGACATAGCTGATTTCTATGCTCAGGGCCTCGGCTGCAATGGATTTTCGTAGTTTGGCGGTATCATGGCGTAAAAATCTGGATGCAGCTTAGCATACAGGTGTGTGCGAACGAAAGCCTTGTCCGACTCATTTACTCAACGCATCAATCTACCGTGAACCCACCTTAAACCGACTAGAATTTAGTCAATCTGACTGAATTTTTACCGCCTTTTTCATACCAGATCATTTGTTGTTTTTGACGGTATTGGTGACTGAAGCGTCAGCAAAGAGAG